AAGTTACACTTAAAATAGGAAAAAAAATTGAAAAACGCTGTAGAAGGAGCAAGAGTTCTCCAAAGGCTCTTATTCGGAATCTGGTTTTTGGAATTTGGCGCTTATCAGAGAAGTTCAATGGGCAGGAATAGCTTTTAAACGGGTTTTCCACGTCACCTAGACGACTAGGTACAATTCATCATTGCTGGATGCCCATTAAAGGCATATAGCACGATAAATTGGTACTCGGTTTAAAATGCTAGCAAGGTGCTATATAGTTGGAAAATGGCGAAAAAACGAAGTGAAACGGTCAAAAACCTGCGAAGAAAAGCCTTCTTTCTTATGACTCGAAAAGCAATTTCGGACGAGTTTCCCGTAGGCATCTTGCCAATAACCGCTACGGTAGTATGGCTGCACATATGTACTCATATATCCATGCAGCACCGCGGCCGCTTCATATCAATCCCTTCGCTTCATATTTTACTTCGCAAATGAAGCAATACGAGCATCAGGTACGGTCGTCCATTTGTGGGCGGGCGGGCGTGGTGGGCATCGGGATCCGTATGTCGAGGCTTGATAGGGCTTTATAAGTACCTTCCTCGGAAAAGGAGCTGTGCAACCACGCCTGCGAGTAGGATTAATACACCTGGCAGGACGGAATTCCAGGCGCCTCCTCAGGGGCCTAATATTCCGTCCTGCCAGGCGTATTAATCCCACTTGTCTCATGGTTAGGGACTTACCGTGCCAACTGCCTTTAAAGACAATTCCCGCGATCAAGTGTTCGGGTAATTGGTGCCCAGTAACGAAGCAGTGGCCCATTTGTAACCCCCAGTGGGAAAAAAACCTCGCGAACACCCGGAACACGGACCTCCCTTTAGCAGTGGGGGCGAGTCTTGTGGTAAATCGCTATAACTTCCTTATCGCGCCATATTGAGGGATGAAAGTGGTATCATCTTCGTCAAGGCGTAGAGGGTTCCAAAAAGCACGAAGTCATTTTGAGGACCACTTGATCGCGGGGAGTGTCTTTAAGAATGGCAATGCGTATGTGGATTGCTCACGTCAGGCAGTTTATTATGGCCAATCAAGCAAGTAGGTTGTTCGCCTCACGCCCATATAAGGACTCCACATCCCGGAAGTGGAAAGGGCCTGGTTGCATCCTCTATATGTGCAGAGGCTGCACTTTCCGTAGGATACAGCCGTTTTGAGACACCTAACCATAAAACATGTCACTGTCCATAACAAACAAGATGACAGTTGTCTCATGTGTGTACTTATATCCTACGAAAATGCTTCCTGCACCATGCTCAGACAATGTACGCAGCCACGCCCACGCGTTTGCAAAAAGTGGTGTGTACATACATCGCAGAAGTGACGTTGGTTTTTCCTACGCCTTTCTGACAATGACAAAATGATGGACAATTGTATAACGATTCGTATCCTCGTAGCGACAAAATTCTGCAATTCTGTCATTTTTATTTAGTTTTTTTATATATATGTACACATTTTGTAGGAACAAAAGAAAAGAAAACACCTTAGTCATCTGTTCAAGAACCGGGAGTGCATTCTATCGCCTGGCTCTAAATGAGTTTGCAGAACTTTTTTACTCCTTCTTGGCATTCCTGAGGCGCGCATTGAAGGAACCAATCCGAAGTGCCCCTTCGTGGTCTATGCATGAATGCCCAAGATATGCAGCCAATCGCATTGAAAAAAGCTCTTTGACCCAAAAGACCCTTCGTTGGGCCATATTATTCAACCCCCATTATCTGCTAGTTTTTTTGGCTCATGCATGATGGTTTATTTTATTCTCAATTTCACAAAGAGAGCCTGTCTTCGAGGTAGCTTGACTTAAAAAAAATACATGCATCGCATTCGATTTGGTTTTGGGGACAACGCTTGTCACCTACGCCGTAGGCGTTGAAGTTAAAGCACCTCACATTACCACATTTTCGGAAAGGCACGAATATGTATCACGTTCGCTCGAAGCGAAAACGCCTGGTTCCTGCGCTAGTAGCACCGGCATCGAGGTTGTTCTTCAGCGCCAAAGCCTGTAGCAAGGGCGCCAAGCACTCCTGTTCAAGACGAATGCGACAATCTTATTCAGGCGGGAGGGGGGGGGGTCAAACTACCCTTCGGGCAAACTTTCGACCGAAAAGTGAGTTTCAGTAATTTCTAATTCCACGCAAAGCGAACCTCAATGTTGCTCGTTCCATCTTTCACATATCAATCGGAGCTTTGATCCGCATTTAAGCTTATTTGCATTTACTTTTTCAGCTCTACAGTGAAAAATCTGTTAGTTTCGCTTTCTTTAATTTTCAGTGATTCTACTGTGATGTGACTTTAACAGGGGATCCCCAGTGAAGGGGTCACATTTCGGTTGGGCGATGGGTGGGTGTCGCATTTGCCTTAATGAAAAAATGTCTGATAAATGTTCCGTTCAGGACTTTCCTCGGCTTTTCACACTTTATGTAGGCTATAATTACCCCCTCCCCCACTTGGCGGCAGTTTTTTGCGGAAAAAAATTATGAGAAAACCTTTTTGTTTTGGAGAAAAACTACTGTGTCCTCAAAAGGAAGAAAAGTGGTGGGAAGCTGAGAGGATTGACGAAGATAGTAGGTAGGATGAGTATATGGAAAAGGAGGGGGGTTGCACCATAGGAAATTTTGAGGGACATTTTGAGAGGTCGTACTTTGCGAAATTTTCCCCAACGGCAGGACGTGCCGCACTAAATGAGCACATAAAAAACCTTGGCGTGGACAGTCTTCATTCTCCTCACGGTGAAAAGCTTAGTAAGTGTTAAAACTGAACCTATTACAATCTCACTGACCTATCCGGAGAAAAAAAAGAAAAAAATATTAGACAAGCTCTCAGCTATGGTTAAACTGTGTCGTTCTAACGCTCGAAAGAAGCCTGCAGAGCTCAAGAGATTTCCCTGCGACTTACAGTAACCAGACAGAGTTAGACAGAGAGGGCTAACTAGTCATTAAAACTTCCAGTAATGTTTTATGATGACTCACCGGAAGGAATACAGCCAATATTATGAGTAGAGCCTTACAAATAACCATGAATTCCACACAGGCGAGCCGTAGCGAAATGCGGAATTAAACAATATGAGCTCATTTAAGGACTTCTATCGGTCTCCACGGCAACACGACCTTGAGTGACATTAAAAACCAAAGTTTGTAATTATATCCGATTCACAGAAGACAACACAGTACGCATTCTCAGAAAAGCGAACGATAAGCGGATTTCCGCCTAATCATTCTTTCAGGGAATTTTTGCAACTTCCTTCATCTGCAAATAAAATCATACTTTACCACGTAACACGATAAACAACTCCGCCTCACAGTCAGTTCAATCTACATCACGCTAACGATCATCCCGCACTTGCGAACAAAATAGAAATCAAAATACGAATTCGGACGCAGATCGTATTGGGGGGGGGCACTCAACATTTTTGCTGGATCCCATCGACGTGTCCTGCCATCATGAAGAGGTCCGTGGAATCTTGTAATGTCATGAAGCGATACTACTAAAAGTTTGTAGAAATACTTGTCGACACTTGCAAAGCAATGAACACGACGGTGGGAAGTAGCGAGAGCGCAAAATGCCCCTCCCAAGACGAAGTGCGTCCGAACTTGTAGATGCCAACTGACTTGTCGATGTGGAAAATTACGAAATTCGGAAGTGCCCTAAGCAGGGCACAGCATTCGATGGGGATTTTGGTCGAGCTTTTACGACCCCCCCCCTTTTTTCAGGGGCTGGTACGACCCCCCCCCATGCTCGTACGATGGCTGACTGTGGTTGTGGTTTATACTCGGCGAAAAAGTAAATTCATCAAGTGAACCACGTAACTCCTAGCCAGAAATACGACCCCCCCCCCTCCAAAACGTCCGCAAAGCGAGAAAAATCAACTATAAAAATAAATTTTTCCCAGCCCAAATACGACCCCCCTTTTGGCGGCCAAATACGACCCCCCCCATAGGGAATCCCCATCGAACGCTGTGCCCTGCTCGAAGGGGGTGTGGGGAGGGGAGGGTACATAGTACACATGAAACAGGAAAAATCACGCGAAAGTCAACAAGCCTTGACAAATTTTTCCCAACGCGGCAAAGCCACATACGACCCCCCCTCTCCCTACAACCAAACACGCCCCCTCCCAGCAGAAAAGTACGACCTCCTATGTGTTTCACACAACGATGGTGTACATTGCCCTCGCATCCTTAATCCGATCGTCTCCCATAACTGGCTCCGCGTTTCACAAGGTTCTGTACCATTGAAGGCAGTTGGCACGATAATTCGGTACTCGGCCTAAAATGCTAGCAGGGCGCTATTTGGTGGGAAAATGGCGAAAATCGAAGTGAAACGGTCAACAACCTGCCAGAAAAGCCTTCGCTCTTGATGACTCGAAAAGCAAATTT